GACGTCCCTTGCGGTCACTGCTTTGCCCTTACCCTTGACATCGATTCCCAAGACGCTCCAGCGACGTCGTAGGCTCTCTACGAAACCCAGCTCCATCCGGAGGTATTCTCGCCACATCTCAATACTATCTGCATTTAGCCTCAAACCCCGCTGCAACAAAGCGCGGGCAGCCGTGGGGGACAGATGCTCGAGCTCGTGCGACGCTGCGAGCACATATAGCGCGGGTACGTTGGGGTGCAGTTGGAGCGCACTAGCGACGCGTCAGGGCGAAGGCCCAATAAATGGAACGTGGGATGAAGGCTCACCGTGCGGTAATGCGTCCGACCAGTGCACGCGCCCCTTCCTTCTTCGCTACCTGGATATATTGTATCCACAGGCCGACGTCGCCCTTGAACTTCTTGAGAGCGCGTTCGAATATCTGGAACTGCCGTCGAACGAGGGCGTAGTCAGACACGGAGGGCGGTCCCTTGGCGATCTCTACTCGCGTCAACAAAACGGCTCAAACTGCCCATCAGCGGTGAGACACTCACTGAGTCGCTCTGCTCGTTTCCGGCGCAACGCTTCCAAGCTCATCTCGTAGGTGGCATAGCGCAAGAAGTCACTCTTCTTGGGGATACGGCGGACGAGCGCGGTCTCGAAGACAGTCCGCTTCTGCATGATCTGCTTGACCTCTTTCTGCGCGCATCGCACTGTCGGTCAATTACAAGATAGTTCCGTGCTGAACACCAGCACCAGCACGCACATGAGAGAACAGGCCCTTCTGGACGAGGTCCTTGAGCTCAGCGAGCATCTACCGGACGCGTCAATACACATGCATATACCCCGCCGCCACGTGTTTGCGCACCTGCTCTTGCTGAAACTGAACCCGCTCCATGTTGTCCGACCAATACCCAAACGACCGGAGAGCGCAAGTGCAGACCCGAGTGGACGATGAAGCAAACGGAGTTCCATGGGCGCTTCCTCAGGACGAAATTCTTGTGGGGACCACGTGCGGCGTCCTAATCGGGGTAGCTGCTTCTGAGTAGCCGAATGACGCGGAGCCACAATGCCTGTGCGCCAACCGACCAAGTACTGGCGGCCTCCGACGAGAGATCTCATGTCTAATAGCCTGTGTAGTCGCTCGTAGCACATGCACAAGACTCACTATCTGAGAGGTTATTTGGCGTAAAGTGTGTAGGAGTGAAAAGGAGCGGACTCGCGGAAGTCACACGAGGCGGCTCGGAGTTAGGCGGTCGAACTATTCAAGGTCCGGCGGGTCCGACCGAGCCTAGGCGCTGTGGACTGCAGTGAGCTCACCGTTGGTTTGTCCCTCCTCCACATCTTCCTCCACGCCCTACTCCTCGTCTACAATGCCGGCCAAAGCCCACCGTCCCAGCGGCCAGGTCCGCTCACACTCGCGCACGTCTTCTGGCGGTTCTTCCAAGCTCGGTCTCAATCTTCAATTCACTCAGAAGGAGCCCCCGCCCCCCAGAGTATCTGATAAAGCGAAGAAGGCCACGCATTATCATCACGAGGTGCGTCCTTTTCTGCGCGACGATCTGCTCGCAGTCGTCGCCTTGTGCCCCATGCTCATCCATGCGCCACGTATAGCCTTCGGCGCGGGCAGTCAACGCCCAGTTCATGCGCTCCAACAGCGGAATCCGCGTGCATTCGAGGGAGAACCTGCAGCCCGCGGCCTTACGTCGGGCGCCCACACCCAATACCGCCGCGAAGCAGAATGGGTCCAAACAGAAGGCAGACTTTACTATATCCAGTCCAGAGGAGGGTGAGGACGACGACGAGTGGGTTTCGAGCGAAAGTGGCGCCGCGACACCAAACAATGAATCAGATGTCGAGACCACGCCTATTGAGCAGAGCAAAGCCCGGTCTGTGTCACAACCAACGCCCGCAGAGCAAGCTCAGCACGCTCAGTTGAACGCCACCGGTGGTCACGATGTGGCAACTCCAAGAGCTGCACCCCCTTCTTTGCCTCGTGTTGATACCGCTCGCCCCTCTCAACTTCCCATTGTTCCGACTGCGCGCGATTATGCCCTCCCGGAGCAGAAGCAGCAGGCTGAGTCCTCATCTCGGCCGCCACAGAGCGATCAGCCGCGCCCGCAAGTAGATATCCAGATTTCTAGCCCGACTCCCCCTGTAAACAAGGCGCGGTCAGAAACGCACTCACCTCCTCGTCGTTCGCCCGATATCGAGGTTTCTCATAAACGACAATCGATGACCCGCCCACCATCTGCGCACTCGATCACGTCTCCGACGCTGCGACCACATCCGCTCATTCGTGGACATTCGTACGGCCAAGGTGCATTGGCGCCAAAGCCAGCACCTCTTGCGCCTTTGGCAACTGTATTACCAGACGCTGCCTCCGGACAGATGTCAACTGCGACCTCCTCACCGACCAGTCTTCGCGCAGGCTCTCCCACCAGCATCCGAACTGCCTCTGCCTCTCCTAATCTCTCGTCCCCTTCATCATCATCTCCCGCTCACAAGCAACTACGACGCACGTCCACGTCCTCTGTTGCGTCCAGTGCAACCATGCCTGTCCAATCTTCCGTCGAGAAGCTCTCCGGCCGGTCTAACCACGATCGGCAGAGAACGCTATCGACGATATCGTCGAGTTCCTCCATCGCTGCACTCACCAATTTCGCACTGCGTTCCACGCCCTCTCCTCGCACTCCCATCACCATCACATCACATTTCCCTCCCCCAGAACAGAGCGCAGCTTTGGAGTCGATTCACCCGCTACTTCCCCCGCCATACCTCAGCGCGCACCTCACGGTGCTAGCGTATCGGAATCCGATCGCGGAGTCATATGACAGGGTCATCCGCGCGAAACAGCGCAGATGATAACGTGCAGCGTTGGTTAGTGTCAGTTAGAAGATGCTATGGAGTGCTATCGGGTGAGTCTTCTTTGCTGCGGTGCTTCTAGAATGAGTTCTGACGGAGTCTACGTGCGGTTAGATGGATGTTCGCCGTTCGGTTCATAGTAAACTCGAACATGTGCGTACGTCCGTCGTCGTCCCATTGACTTTGCTTTCGCTCTATATTTATCAGTTACTGTAATCTGGATTCCTTACGCGAGCATATGACAACTGATGAACGTCAGCGAGCTTCGGTTTGACGCAAGGCGATATGTGAGCCTTATCGCCTTCACAAACACTGGATCAAGATTACCATTCTCCATTTCGCCACGCCTTGCCATGGCGACATCGACTACAATCTCATGCTTGCTGATTTCGGTAGTCCCCAGATGATCTGCAATTGGTGAGAAAGGAAACAGCTGAGCCACCGCAGGACGAACGTCGCTAATTTGTTCGGAGAACCGCACCGGAATACCTCAACGATTGCATCCACATGGTAGTCGCGCTCCTTCACGATGACATAGCGTCTGGAGGAATGGCGGCATTGTGAGCGTATCTATCGCGCAACATCACTCGAATGCCGCCGACATGACGTCCATCCTCGTCAAGCTTCCCGTCCGGCCTCGGATATTCTTCGATGCACGACATGCTTCTGCATTGAGCTTCCGTTCCGAGTCCCGTGCGGCCAGCCCTTCTCGCAGCGCGCTGCCTGCGCATCCCGATGTCTTTCGTTCATCGTCATGTCATCACCGTGTCCGAGAAGTCGGTGTCTGTCTGCAACGAGCCTGCGGACATGGCCCTTCGTTTCTCCCCGGGACGTCGGTGTTCGCGCTCGAAGTCCAGCTAAATTCCAGGATCCGACATTCACTGTCCAGGCTTCCAAATCGAAGCTGGGGCGCCGACAGGCTCGTCACGGTGCAGACGGCCGCATGGTCCACGATTCTTGCGCTCGTCGGACGGGCAACGTGGCCGGTCTGTTTACCTCAACCTCAATGAACGCCGGGGGTGCTGTATGCCCCGATTCGCGCAATTGTCCCACCGCTAAATCGTGGGCTCTGGCCAGCCCTTGCAGCGCGCCCTCTGGCTGCAGTCAGACTGTAGTCTTCCAATCCTCGGCGCCGCCGCGGCGGGCGATCGAACGTAATCTCTGGGGACGAGAGCTCGACGTCGACTCGCGCCTGCAAATGTTCATATGATTGCCTTGGTGAAGAGACCAGGACGTATGGAGTAACGTGCCTCGAGGCTGGGAGTACGCGAACGCGTCTTTCTTCCATTGCGACGCTAATCGTATAGCTCACTTCCTTTCCGCTCAGATGCCTGCACATGGATGTGGCTCCCTCCAGCCGCTTCGCCGCCAATTGAGCGAACTCCAGGCCGCCACGTTTGCAAGCCGACGTTGCGGACGGTGGAGGGCCCTGGCCCATGTGGTCTGCTCGGCCGCCAGTGTTCGGCTTTGCGCACGTGCGGCGTAATGTCGCGTCAGTGGCTTACCGGAACACGCTCGACTCATCGACCTCTAGACTGGAAATCCCGAGTTTCGGAAAGACAATGCGGGGATGTTTGACAGGGTGAGCGTGAAACAAGCTTGAATCCGGCCGTTGCTGGTGTCCTATACTTATCGCTGACACCCCGACTCCTTGCTGGACAATATACATAGTGGATGAATGGCACACCGCCATTGACCGGTCTCGTGAACGCGCTGTACTGAATCTGCGTCGATCGCGGACGCTAACGAGCACACCAACAGACCAGATGACCCCACTGGCTTCAGGCCATGACGCGCCATGACGTGCCAAGTCTCGACGTCGACATGGCCGATCCGATGGATCATGGATCATGACTTCAGTCTCGTCAGTCTCGTGGTCAATGAAACCGGCACAGAACCGGGCTCTACGACGGCGATCCGTCCACGAATCATGGTGATGTGCAGCCATGTTGGCCACGGCAGTATGCCTGATAACTCCGGGTGGGTTGCACGCGGTCGTGTAAGTTGTCGACCAGCCACAGCCATTTCTTGATGTTATATTCGACTATCGTGGTAGGATCGACGAGACGGTCATGGGTCATGATAGTGAACGACCGCCTACATAGGTTCTATGTCAGCGCTCAGCCGCTCATATTGCCAGCGAGCATTGACAGAGTAATGGCCGCCTGGCGTAATGGCAACGCGTCTGACTACGACAGCCTCCAGAGCTGGTTATCAGGAGATTGCAGGTTCGACCCCTGCGGTGGTCATTTTTGTTTTGTCTGGACGGTCCGGGGACTTGATTGGCTCGTCCCACCGCGCTTGATCCTGTAACAGTATCGTCCTGGTGTGTTTCGCCAACGGCACTTTATGTGCAACTACCTACGTACATATACAGAGCAATTTTGAATCGACCTCAAAGCCCGCGGCCGTAGTCCGTTTGTTCCCTTCCCCTCATCTATGAGAATATGCGACTGTACGAACTAGAGCCTCGACAGTAGGTAGCCAATGGTATCAGAGGTGCGTGCAAAGCGTGAACGAGCGCGAATGTATACACGCCAGAATGAATCGATGGTTGCGAGAATGTGAGACCTGCAGGGCCTGCCAAGGTGAATGTGCATGGAAGTCGCGACGGGCGCTGAAGCGATTAGGAGAGTGTTATGAGAGAGAGCGTCCATCGTCCATAGAAGAGAGGAAAGCAAGGTCGGAAAGCGAAGAGGACTGTGCGGGCAGGAGGTCTGCAGAGCACGCTTATAGCTCCTGTGGGCGTGAATGAGTGAGAGATTGAATCACGGATGAGGAACGCGGACGACGTACGATCATGTTGAGGTTACCAGAGAGCAGCCTGTTCTCGAGCACACAGCCGTCGGGGATGTCGATGCGCTGCCCCTCGTTCGCAACGACGATGACAGTCCCGCGCAACGTCACGTTGCGACCAAAGTAGACATCGCCCGTCACCGTCAAGTGGTCGAGCTCCAGGATCTTGGGGATCTTCTTGAAGCGCTTCTGGAACTGCGCGATCTTCTTGAAGTGGTCGCCAAGCTTGATGACGGGAGTCGTCTCGAACATGCGGTTCGGGTTGATGATGAGCTGTCCGTGCTGGAGCGAGTAGATGTCGCTCTTGATCAACAGCAAGTCCGAGCAACTCTTCACGGGCAGGAAGCGGCTGCGGGGAACGTTGACACCATGTGCATTGTTGAAGTGCTTAATTGCGTCACCGGCGGCGGTCTCGAGCTGGATCACGGCCTGACCATCATCGGTCGTCTTGGGGTTGACGATGATGTCGAGTTCCATGCCCTCGTTCTCCATAATGCGTTTGAGCGCTGTGAAGATACAAATGAACAGACGCTCAAGACAGAAGCGCATGTAGAGAGCGTACCCTTCAGGTTCAGCCACAGGTTGTTCGTGTTGAAAATCTTGAACTTGCGGACTGTCCAACCGAGACTCGGTTACTGCGATGCGCAGGATGGATATAATTGTGACGTACCGGACTTGAAGTCCTCGATGTGCTCGTTAGGGACTTGTGCGACCTCCAGCAGACGGATGGAGCCCTCGTAGTCAATGAGGGTACCGCCCTACATGGATCATTAGGCACAATTGACGTTGGTACTTGAGGAACAGACGAACCTTGATATCCGCCTTCGTCTTGTCCGTAACCTCCATGATGAACTCGGCTTGAGTATCAATCATATGCTGCAGAATCTTGTCATCGACACTGCGGCACGTCAATACTCGGCCAGACCATTCCAGCTTGAATACTCACACAGCACCAAGGTTATCAGAGTTCGAGACGAAGAGATATTCCTTCCCCTCGGCGATCAACTGATCAAGGACACCGGAGTGCAAGAGGGCATTGTACAAGTCACCGTGACCAGGCGGGTACCAGTGCTTCTTGTCATCGTCCGCTGAGTGGGGGCAGGGCAAAAGGGTCTCCTTGAAGATACGCGGGTAGCGCGACTGGTTGAAGGTGGTGATGCGCAGTTGTTGGTTTGCGTACTTCTTGATGATGCGGAGGGTATCGTCGTGGGTGTTGAATGACGTCATAAGGATGAGGGGAACATCGACGCGGTGGGTAGTGTTCAGGTGCTCGATCTGACGCACAGTCAGGTCAAGGAAGGTCATGTCATCCTTGACCTCGAGTGCAGACTTGGCACCAGTCATGCCTGAGGGGAATGAGGCCCGGAACACTCATGAAAATATGGTATGGAAGACGCACCCATGGACGTTCCAAGACCACCATTCACCTTGAGGACCGCAAGCTTGTTCAGGTTCTGGGGCGACCCGGACGGGAGGTTTGCATAAGGAACGATCTTGTCATCGGACGGAGACTTGATGCGGTCCCATTCACTGGATCGAAAGGTGAGGATGGAAAGACGCGCAGATGCGGGGAAATGACGCACAGTTCCTGCCGACGTGCGCGGTCGGAGAGGTAACGCGTGAAGAGATAGAAGAAGGACTGCATCTCGGTGTCGAAAGCCTTGCATTGGGAGGGAATTCAATGATGGGGAACGAAAGAGAAGGAATGAGAGTGAAGCGCACCTTCCTCGTCTCAGAATCCTTGACAGTGTTAACGAGGGCGCTGAGCTCGTTGCGCATGGCCTTGGCGGCGACACCAGTCGTGGAGGTCTTGAAGTCGATGTGACTTGCACCGCGGACGCGTGCATTGAACGAATCGCTCCTGGGCATGAGGGAATCCATAGTTCTGGAGGGCGGCTGAGAGGAGTGGGGGGAGCAAATGGGGAGAAAAGAGACGTACGGCTGGTTGAGGTGGACGGGCTTTGTTGTATTTGTCGAGATGAGGAGCGGGAGGAGGGGGGCGGAGAGGGAGCGGACTGGGGGGGCTCGTGGACGGTGATGACGTTTATATACGTCGAGGGTGATGTCCGAAATGGGCGAGAGAGCGTATATCGATCTCGAGTGTTTGGACGGGCTGGAAGGGACGCTTCTCGAATCCCTGCTGGGAGAATCGTCTCTGCTGGGCGAGCTCTCTTCCCGGATTGGCTCACAGATCGATCGCCGCTGCTGCTCGCGCGCCGCCGTGCCCAGTGGGCTCGTGCTCGCCGTCGGCCCCGCCCCCGCACTCCCCGCCTGGCGCTCTCCTGCCGCGCCGCCGCCGCCGCCCAGCGAGAGGCGGCCGACGGCGGACGAGGGGCCCGCCTCCGGCCAGAGGACCCGACCGCGCTGCTCCGCGCACCCCGACCAACGTGCGTGCATCGTCGTGCGTATGTCTCCCGCGCCGCGCCGCCGAACCGCACTGACAGCTTCGAACTGGACTGGGGGGATCCGCACACTGTCGAGCCGTAATCTGACCGATGCTAGCGCCCCCCGAGATCCCTCCGACAACGAGCAGCGAATTCAGGAGAGATAAAGCAGCGCAGGGACCAAGCGAACCGGACTGCCTGTGCGGTCGTCCACCTTATGTACCCATCGTCCTCACCCTGTCCGCCCACGTCAGTTTCCGTCATGGTCGAATATATCGGGCCCCTTCGAACATCCTCGCCTCCCAGATTCCGATCCGTGTTCCAGACCGCCCTTTGATCTCTCTCCGGTCCTTTTTAGCCTCCTCGCCTCTGCCGCCCTGCCTTCGGTCTTCTTTCCCCTTATCATCCTCGTTGTGCCTTTCCCTCCCTTTCCTCTCTTCCTCTTCCTTCTCCTCCTCCTCCGCCTCCTCCGTGCTCCTCGTCGCCGCCCACCACGTCCACCGCGCCCGTTATGCCGAGTTACACCGTTCGTTACATCACTCGCATGATCATACGCGTCGCGACGCGTTTTCTCACTCCACCCTGTTTGGTCGCGCAGCAAGACGCGTGCTCGCCCGCCTTACCGACATGCCTTCGATTCTCTCCCCGGTTCCGATCCCGTGACCACGCCTCCATGCATCTTCCATCAACGCTTCATGCGGCCCTCTCTTGGGCGGCCCTCCGTCCTCTGCCGCCTTTCCCCGGTTCTCTTCTTCCCAGCCATTCTCTGAACGGTCATTCATGTTCCCTTGTTCCTGTTCCTCACGTCAGTCCGACGCTCTCTGTCCGGGAGCGCATCGCGTGCGGTATCACTGTTGTGTTTCAAGCGGCCGAATCCCTGTTAGATGCCCCGTGCGTTCGCTGTCTGCGAACACATCATGACTTCCTCTCGGCGTTCGTCCGCGTCTCCGACACACTCAGCGCGTCGCAATGTTTTGTCGGTCAGATTTTGTTCGCGCCCGCCAGCGCCCAAATGGTATAGGTTGACAGTTCCATTCGACCTACGAGTGCCTTCAGCGCATCCGCCCCTTGTGTCTACATTCATGCTGCTTGAAATGACAGTGCCAGGATCATACAGGTACGTGAATCGAGAACCTGCAGGCACACGTCGAAGCCTGCCATGCCTTGTCCATGCTGGACGTTGTTAGTGTCGTTTCCCAGCGGCCTTGCATGGTTCCGAGCGCCATCTGCGGTATGGTAAGCCCCGTAAGGCCCGCTGCTTCTTGATGTTACTGATGCCTCATCTGCTCAGGGCCGACAGAGGATCTCGTAAAGCGTCCGAGTGGATAATGGATTGTTGCCGGGTGGGAACGCAACCTCGCGGCGATGTATCGTGAAGGATGCGTAGTCAGAACTTGGCTGCGCTTTCGTCACGTTGCGTACGATGTTTCTAGACCCATTGGAAAGCAGAGCTCAGCTTGCCCAAAATCTGCAGACCACCAATAAACCAGACATCTGACAAGGTTGTGTCGTGTCAGCACTGTCTTCTTGGCCGTCGGGATCGCTGCTGAATCCCACAGTCAACACACAGTCCGACTCCCAGTGACGGTTGGACATTTTAGACAGCGATGGCGTGGACAGGCCAGGTCCACAGGCACTGCGAACACCGTGGCCCTGCACAGCAGTTGCTTCCTAGTCCAAGTCGCACACCTCTTGCTTGTATTGCACGCGTTCTCGTTCAGAAGGTTCGGCTGATCGGTCGTCGTGGGTGCGTTGGCTGGCTGCTGAAGTGTTCACTGTGCCTCGGGCCCTTGTCGCCGACGGTGGCGGAATATTAATTCCCGAGAGCAACGTGTGCGCCGCGTTTCGGGTGCTTCGCGCCAACTCAAACCACTGATGGAAAGCCGTGCGTCTGTGGGTACAACAGCAACCTTGTGGCGAGAGTACTTGCATGGTGGCGCATGTAACTCTTCCCACCCTTCCTGTAGATGTCAGGATTGCGTGACATATTCAGTCTTCGTCGCGCGTTACTTATTCTGTGCTACGTCTGTCGGTTCGTGTCCTTGTCTAGGAGAGACCGACGCGTCGTG